CTTTCTGGTCGTTCAAGAATCAGCACAATAATAGGTCTACAGATTAAGTTATGGCAAAAATACCGAAGCACGTCCAAAGATGTTTTTCTTCAGTTCCCAGCGTACTTTTCACGACTTCAAGCCAAGTTTTCACCATTGTCCAGTCAGAATTAGGAAAAACCTAAAACAAGAAAGTTGTAGCTCTTCTTCTTAGCTTTCCAAAACTTCTTAATTCAGGTCATTCCGAGTTTCCAAACTCAAGTTACACAATTTACGCTCAAAACTATCATTTATGCTCAAAATCATCGTTTAGGCCTACAAAGACAAATTAATAGAATTAGGTAGCAATTATGGCCCAACTTGAATGAATCCTAAATCCTATCAAAATTTAATGCAAAATCATAGTGTAAAATATGATTATCAATTAATGACTTCACTAGCATATTGTCGATGTATACTTCCATAGAGTCTTCTAGCAGGTTGGAGAACATTTTGTTCACAAGTCGCTGGTAGGTGGTTCCAACATTCTTCAGGCCGAACAACATTACTTTGTAGTAGTAGATGTCTTGTTCAGTGATGAAGGCAGTCTTCTCTTTGTCGTCCGGATGCATCAATATCTGGTTGTAATCAGAGAAGGCATCCTTGAAGCTTAGTAGTTCATTTCTGGCGGTGGCGTCCACTAGCATGTCTATATGGGGGAGTGGGAAAGAGTCCTTGGGACAAGCCTTGTTCAAGTCAGTGAAGTCAATGCAAACTTTCCATTTCCCGTTCTTTTTCTTCATTACTACTACATTCGCCAACCAGTCTAGATAATAGACCTCCCGAATTGAGCCGTTGCTAAGTAGTTTCTCTACCTCCTCATTAATCACCTTGTTTCTCTTTGGGGCGAACCTTCTTCTTTTCTATCTTATAGAAGGGTAGTCCAAGTCGGCATTCAGTCAGTGTATAATAGCTTCGAGGTTGATCCCTGTTATGTTATAGTGAGATCAAGTGAAACAATCTTGGTTCTCCTTCAAAAAATCGATGAGCTTTCTTCGGACATCAGGTGAAAGTTGGGCTTCTACTTGTGTCTTTTGGTTCGAAAAATCTGGGTGAATTTGGACCTTATCCAGTTTCTCCATAGCTGGTTGGTCCGACTCTACTCTTCTAGCTAGAGGAGTTTGTAGTTGCTACATGGTGCCACAATTTGTTTTGAAAGCATTTTGATAACAATCTCTGGAGGCCTTCCTTCTGATCTCATTTTATCTTTTTGATGCCCACTCGGAGGGGAATTTGACAATCTGGTAGAAAGTTGAGGGAATATCCCGCATGTCATAAAACCGCAGCTAATCAAGGATCACATTGTAGGGGGAAGGGGCATCTAATATCATAAAGGTGGTTTGATGCTTGATTCCTTTAGCATAGACCGATAGGGCAATCTCTCCGATAGTATACTTTTGCTTCGAATTGAATCCTACGAGGAGAGTTGGGCGATGGTTAATGTTAGCCTTATCCAATCCCATCACCTTGAATGCTTTAAGGAACATAATGTTTGCTGAGGAGCCGGGGTCTATTAAGATTCTTTTCACAATGATGTTGGCATTCTTGAGGGTAATCATGAAGTGCATCATGGTGGAGATTCAGAAGTGTTGTTGCCTCGTTATCCATAAACTTTAGGTTAGGTTTGTGGCTTTTTGTAGTGTCGGTCTTGAATGTTGGAACTGCAGCTTAGTTGCGGCCTGTGCATGGTGCTTTACTGATGAGTAGCTTACCCCGCTGACTTCTGATCCGCCCAAGATAACACCATACATTCTGTCTGTTGAAAGGGCTTTTGGTGGAGAAGTGATTTGGTGATCTTTGTTCACCATTGTGCTTCCTTGTCTGACAAAAATTCACGGAGATGTCCCCTTTTCAACAGCTTGACTACCTACAGGTGAAGTACAATACAGTCAGCGGTATTATGGTTGTGGTCTCCATGAAATTCTCACCATTTGGTGGTGTCCTGCTTTGCTCCAGGGTGTTTCAATTTGGCCTGCCATTTGACCACGTTTTCCATTTCTTTCATCACGACTACTAAGTCCATCGGCTTGAGGTTGTAATCGGACAACTTGTACTTGGGTGGTGTGTTGGGCATTGGCTCGTTGTGCCAAGCAGAAGGGCGATCTAGTTGGTGTCTGTTGTCTAGTACGAAAACTCTTCTTACTGGATAGGGCTCTACTGGTCTTGTATCATGGCGTCTGTCAGGATGCTGAGAGCAGCGATTATCGTATGCGTTTTCCTTGGCTCTGTGAACTTCATCTTCCTCCCACCTTATCTCAATCCAAGCATGGGCCAATACATCCTCCATGGTGTTACAGTTAAACTTGGTAAGTTCTTTGTATAGCTCTCTGTCTGGGAGTAGGCCTTTCCTGAAGGCGTCAACTGTGGTCTCTTGATTGTAGTACGAGATCGATACTTTCTCAAAACTTGGTAAGTTCCTTGTATAGCTCTCTGTCTGGGAGTAGGCCTTTCCTGAAGGCGTCAACCATGGTCTCTTGATTTTAGTACGGGATCGATACTTTCTCAAGGTTGAAGCGTCCCATATAATCTCGAAGGGGCTTATTGTGATGTTGTTGGATCCAGTAAAGGTCGCTAAATAATTTCTCTAGTTTTTTACTACTAGCAAATTACTCCACAAATGTGTTCGTGAGTTGAGCGAATGAAGCAATGGAGTGATTGGGGAGGTTGGTGTACCACTGAAGTGTCGGTCTTATTAGGTTGGAGCCAAAGCTTTTGCACATGCACACCTCATGGAGATCTCTTGGTATGACGGTAGTGAGCATTCTTTGCTTGTAGGAGGCTATATGATCATCTAGGTCAGTGGTTCCGTCATACAGCGTCATGTTGGGGAAGATGGATTTGCTCGGCATATCTAAAAGGGCAATGGCATCTACAAATGGTGACTCGGCATAACTTTGGGGTTGACTCTTTTTTAGGGGTGCTGACACTCCTGGGATATGTTGGATCATGACTTCCATTTCGACTAGTCGTTTGGTTAGTGTTTGTTCAAGGGTGGTTGGTATAAGGGTGTTAAGGTTCTTGAGGAGTACTCTTGGGTTGATGTGAATGGCCATGCCCAGCGGTATGGTTTAGGGAGTGGTGTTGGTTAGCAACTGCATAAGGTGTATTTATTAAAGTGTAAAGAGAGTGTTTAAGTGTTGGGAATGGGCGGTTTGGGTATGTGTCTCGGTGGCTGGATGAATGGAAGGGTGTACATCCTCTTCTCAGGTTGGCTCGACCATGGTCGAGGTAGTGGTTGGGTCTAGATGTGTGTAGGTGCCAGTAAAGGTGTCGCTATCTGGGTTGATGAATAGTTGCCTAGGTTGGATGGGGGGTCGAGAGGTGGATGCATGATGCTGGTTGAATGACCAATCTAAAGAGTAGAATTGGCTTACCTTATTCTGGAGAGCTCTATTTTTGGCGCAAATGGTAGCGTTTTGGGCTTCCAAGGCTTGGTACTTATTGTTGCTTTCATGCACCAATGCGATGAGGGTTTCGATTTGAGCCGCAACATCTAGTGTTGAACTTTCGGTATGATTGGCCATGGCGGCTAAATGGAAGGGAGAGAACTGAACGGCATGTTGTTTTGGATCGAATGATTGACAGGGCCCCATGATGGGCGCCAAATTGTAATAAATAAAATTTACAATTGAATTTGAGAAGATAGAATCTTGTGGGGCGAGCCACTGACAATCTTGATGGACCTGCGAAGGGTGCCCTTACGACTAAGGGGGAGCTTTAGCAACGTAGGGACATTAGAGTATGTGGTGAGCTTGGGAATACGGGTACTAGAACTTTGGGGTGATTTCTGAATAAAATGAGAGGATTTCCCTCTGTTTTTATAGTGAACCCAAGGGGTCTGAATCCCAGTAGGACTATGAATCCTACTTGATGTGAGAGTTCTCCTTTTGGAAGGAAATTAGATTTCTTGCCTTTATCGGTTCAAGCTTTTCCTCTTTGCGTGAGATCGGGGATCTTGTCAAAAGAGGAATTTGTCTAGAATTTTGATCCTTTGTTATGGACTACTGTGGGTGAATGAGTCGGACCTAGTTCAGCTTAACTCGTGGGATGACCCAACACATAGAGCAGGCAGTTCACAAGGTATTCTAAGCGTGGGCTCAATCGAATTGGGTAGGACCTTGGGTCGTTATAAGCTTATGATGTTATTGGATCTCGTCAGGTCTAATATGATTTTTGGCCCATATGATAATGAAGTTAATCTTTTCCGTAGGCTAAACTTAATGAATGTCTTCTAGTGAAGTAGGAATTTCCGTAAGCTATGATTTAATCTTGACTGTAGGATAAACTTAAGGCTAAATACTTTGTAGAGTTTGGATGAGATAGATACAATATTGTTTTTAAGATTAAACTCTTGGATATATTACTTAAGAGATCCTGAGTTTGAGTCTCTTATCGATTGTTAATAAGGGTAGCTATTAAAGCTGTTACCCAATTGATAGTTTCAAGGTCTTGGGAGATTAGTTAAGATGTCCGTAAGTTGGCCCGGGCACCCTCCTTCATCCTAACAAAAAAAAAAAAAACACTTATATGCTTCTTGGAGTGCCTTTTCAGATTTATATTAGAATAATAATGTGCGTACTAACGGATTTTACTAACCAATATACTAACCTTTGTTAAAATCACACATGGTACCCGTACTATGCGCATGGTACCCGTACTATGCTTTAAGTTAGTACTCTAGTTAGTAGAATCCATTAGTACCCACAGCATTACCCTTTATATTAATAGAAGAAGATATTGTTAAAAATACTTTTAATTAATAGATATTACTTATATTTACGTAAAGGCTTTCGATTCGAAAATGGCTTAAAAAACGACACTCAATAATAGCCCATGGATTTACCCGGCCCAAACGTCTGTACTAGATACATGGGCCGTATTCACCCCAATAATAATGAACAATCAGCCCAGCCCAAACTCAAATTAGAGAATTCAGAGACTTGAACTAGCACAATTTCGACGAGAAGAAATGGGAACCTGCACTGTGTTAAAGCAAGTAAAAGGTACCGTGTTCCTCTGGATCGGGGAATATTGGAGATGATATTGAACAAGATATTTAGTAGGAGCAGTAAAACTACCACGGCTTTGTGGAAATTACAGAGAAAATGGATGTCAACTTCAAGCAAAAGTGTAGCTGACATGGCCATTAAAGATGGGGAACTAAGAGTTTTCATAGTAGCAGGAGAGGTCTCTGGGGACACCCTTGCTTCTCGTCTCATGTCTGCTCTGAAGAATCTGGCTCCTGTTCCTGTCTGTTTCTCCGGTGTTGGAGGGTAAGCTATGAATGCGGTTTATAATTTAATCTCTCTTGGAAGTTCCATGGAAAATTCTTTCTTTCTTTCTTTTTTGGGAATGAAAAAGAAGAAATTATTAACGGGTATAATGGATGATGCAAGATACTATGATTCTTAGAACTTTTGTCATTAATTTGTTCTTGATAGTATAACTTTAATTCACTTAAAAAAAATTGTATTTTTTCTTCAATATAATGTTTCTTTTTTGTGTAAGGTCCATGATGTCCAAGCAAGGATTGAAATCCTTGTTCCCTATGGAGGATATTGCAGTAATGGGAATCTTGGAGTTATTGCCTCATCTTTATAGGTTCAGAGTGAGTACCTTATTGACTTGAATGACTTGTTGTTAATGTGAAGTTTTGTATTTGTATTTCAGTTCATGAGAAGAAACTCCAATGCATATTCTCAATTTGTTTAGAACTTTGAAATATCAGGTGAAGTTGAAGGAAACTATACAGGCTGCTGTTTCGTTTAGGCCTCATGTTGTCGTGACTGTGGATTCCAAGGGGTTCTCTTTCCTTCTGCTAAAGGAATTACGCGGTAATATGAGCTGCCATCTTGGAACTGGGATAAATATTTTCTTACTGCTTATGTTATAAGTATGCTGTAGGACAAACGGGAAATGCTTTTTGCAGCTAGATACAGTCAGCTAAAATCGAATGATGTGGTACACATCCATTATGTAGCACCGTCATTCTGGGCATGGAAAGGGGGTGAAGCAAGACTTAAAAACCTAGCTACCTTTGTCGATCATGTCTTGTGTATACTTCCCAACGAGGAAGTAGTTTGTAGATCAAATGGACTGGCTGCAACCTTTGTGGGCCACCCTATTGTGGAAGATTGTTTAGAATTGAATTCGGTGTGTATCTACGATCTGATTTGGAGTATTTTCTTTTTTTCTCTTTTTCTTGTTTTTAGTAATTTCTTAATAGTGTTCATATAATTCATTAGTGAGATCTTAGAAGTTCCTATTTCAGTTTCAATCTTTACTGAATGTGTTTATTTGAAACTATCATGTCATTGACGTTGTCGGTGTGTGGCTAAACAATATGCTGTTCAAATTGGTTTTGGAGTCTGGAATTGGTTTAGAAACTGCTATTTTCGTGTTCATACCGAAAGAAAATCTGTGTTTCCATTTTTTCTATTCACATTTGCTTTGAAAATGGTTGACAAACTTTAATTTGATTTTGAATATTCATGCTTTTCAATTGACATCTGGTGTTGTTAGTTTAGCACTAACACAGGAAGCATTTTATGTTTAGGGAAAGGAAAAAATGCCTTGTGAAATGAAGATAGAAGGAAATTGGAAAGACTTCCGAAAAAAATATGCAGTACCTTCAGGTAATCTGAATTGGAGGCCCAATAGCTTTGATTTTATGTGAATAGTGTAATATTCTAAAAAAACACTTCATATTGTGAATATGAATTGGTGGTTGTACTCCTCTTGTCTTGTTACCTAATAAATTTTATCTTTGAAAGGTGCCACAGTCATGACCTTGCTACCTGGAAGCAGATTACAAGAGGTCACCCGAATGCTTCCGATCTTTGCAAACACTATGGAACAATTAAAACACTCATTTCCTGAGTTGGTGACAGTCATCCATGTGGCACCTCATCAGCATGTGGAGGACTACATTAATAAAGTTGTACATAAGTGGCCTGTGCGTGCTATATTGATTCCAGGAGGATCCTCACAACTGAAATATGACGCTTTTAGTGTAAGGTCTCCCCGTATATCTTTGTTCCAATTATTGATAATGTCACTTTTCAGAAATAGAAAACTGAGGCAGAGTATGGGTTTAGTTCTGATTCCGTGGTTTGCCAGGGAAATGACCTTGTTGTTCTAATCCAGTCAGATGATTATTCAACCATAGGTTTTGTGTGATCTGGATTCACAGAAATCAACATGAACAAAGTTTCAACACCAAATAATGTGCAATGCATATTTAATGGTATAACGTATATTATTGTTAACTTGCGAATTGATGTTGTGCAGGCAAGCAGGGTTGCTTTATGTACTTCAGGAACTGTTGCTGTGGAGCTGCAGCTTGCACGATTACCTTGTGTTGTTGCTTATCGAGCTCACTTTCTGACTGAGTGGTTTATCAGATATAAAGCAAAGATACCCTACATCTCGCTTCCCAATATTCTCTTGGATTCACCTATAATTCCAGAAGCTCTCCTTCAAGCTTGCACCCCTGATAAGCTGGCTTCATTGCTCATGTATGATCTTTTTACAATACAACCATGATTTATCATTTTAATTTCCAAGATTTGATTGAATAGCTGGTACTTAAAGATGCAAGGCTCAGGTTATGTGTGAATTACTAAAGCCAGAAGTGATATTTTAGCATATTGTTATAAGTTTTTTGTGATGTTTTCAATTTGATATTTGCAGTACTTTGTCAATGGAGTATAACATAATAGTTTCTGAATTGGCACACCTAACTTGAAAGTTATGAATCATTGCAGGGAGTTGATACACGATGAGGCCCTTCGAGGAGAACAGATTGTAGCTGCTGATAAAGTTATCAGACTTCTGTATCCTCCAGAAAGAACCATAACCAACCTGGAACGGCAGGATCTTGGTTTGACGTTTCCCAATTACACGCCAAGTATGTTAGCAGCATTGGCCATTCTAGGCTATGTAAAATCATGAAGACTAATGTGTTAAACACATTATGGCAACTAACTCATGCACTCAGCTGACATTTGTTCCCTCAGTTGTGAAATTTATGTAGATTTGCATTTTTCACAGTTCAGGTCCATATCCTGGAGTTTTTTTTTTTTTTTTAATTTTTTACGTGGATTTGAGTCCAAATATGCCATGTCAATATATTGATATCAAACAGCTGCAAATTTAGTCAACTAGATTCGTGACCTTATTTTTTTCATCATTGAATTATTAATATTTCTTAGAAGAATGCTTAAGTGCTCTAACCCAACTTAAAGATTTAATGAATAAATCAACATAAATGCTAAACTGGTCAAACTTAGTTTTATTTAATGGGGCAGTTTTTATCAACTCATCTATTCCATACTATTTTGAGATGTTTTATTACTAAGAAATTGTATTATGAAAGCACTAAATTTGATAAAAATCATAATAAATTTCAATTGGCTCCAGCAACCTAGTCGGCTTACCTTGTTTTTGATCTTACATCTTGAAAGGCCATGATTCAATTTGAACGCTATGTGCCTGTAATCTTCCCTCAGTTTTAACAGCCTGAAGACCAGCTCAACTGGAACAAATTAACTTCTTAAAATAGTAAATAGTTGTGTCTTTTAACTCAGACAACTAATCCCATTGAGCCTATATATCAAACTTCTTTCTTCAACACAAATCCACTGGCTCCAGCATTATACAGAAAGAACAATGGCTTTAACTAGAAGAATAATTATTTTTTTCCTTGTGACAATCATTGTTAGCTCATTGTTGATCAAAGATACCAGTGCAGATCACACAGGTGATAAGTGTGATCAAGGAGATGGCAGCCAGTGCAAGAAAGATTCGGAATCTCCGGCGCCGGAACCTTCACAAGGCCAAGCTCCTCCACCAACCAAAGATCCTGACTTTTCAAATCCAGAAGACCACTTTGTAGTATTGGGGCATTAATTAAGATGTTTCTTCATCAACGTTCCAGGCTAAAACTCATTCATAGAGTCATCCAATAACGAACTTCTTAATCTTGTTATGTTACTATAATCAAATGTGTTTTAAGTATTATTAAACTCTGTGTAATTGTCAAAACTTTTAGAAGCAATTCTATTTGTTTCTAAAATGTACTAATACAATACGGGCCTAATCTTCTATAATGCATAGTTTCAGATTAAGTTAATATTGGAGGAGGATCTCTTTCAACAACATCCTGAGATGGTTCATAATATTTTCAATTGGATGTAGTTAAGAGTTTGGTATGAAGTCCTTCGTCTTTTTCCTATTAAATATTTTTTAACGTGTTATCTTAATTCATCATTTTAGATGGTTCATAATATTTTCAATTGGATGCAATTAAGAGTCTAGAAATACTACACAATGGAGCCTAAAAAATGATAAATGTCTTTGATTACTTTCCATGCACTTTATTTCTGTTCTAAAAAATTCCTCTTTGTTTTGTTATAATTCTTATTCTTAACATCTAAAATTTCAAAAACCATAGGAATTTCAATTGGTCAAAATTTATTATTTTAAGGTTATTCATGTGAAAAATGTCTCTTTTATTCATAATTAATTTTTAAAATTATGAAAAATGTCTTAAAATTTTACTAACACTTTTAAAAATTTCTGTTCAAATTTTATAATATTTTATTATATACTATAGACTATCGGAATAATTACAAACCAGGTTTGTAATTAAGACGAGGGAGAAGGAGTTTTTCCCACCCAAGGTTTAACAAAACGACACTTTCCCACCCATTAAGTTTCAAAACGACACTTTCTCACCCATGTTAAAATCCGTCTGTTAAGTTTCACTTAAGAAAGACATAATAGTAATTTTTAAAAACTGTTAAAAGTAATTATGTCATTTTACATAAACTAAAAAAAAAAAAAAATTCAATCCCATTTACTTTCTTCCCCACCCCATCCCATCGCCCCAAAATCCTCCACCTCCGCCAATCATCTTCCTTCATCACCTGACCTTCATCCTCACTATCACCCCACCAAAAGGCCTACCACTCCAACTGATGCCTCAAGAAAGCTCTTGACATGGCTGCCCCCGATTTCCACCAAATCTTGAAAAAACTCAACCCCGATTTGGTCATTTATGATTTTCTCCAACCATGGGTGCATGCAACAGCTTTGTCACTCAATATTCTTGCCATTCATTTTCTTGTCACTTTTATCGTAATGATTGCGTTTTTAGATCATGCTGGTAAAAATCCAGGTGTTGAATTTTTGAAACCGAAATTATCCCACTTGCTTGACTCGATTTCAAATGGAGTGAAAGATCAAGACAAGGTTGAAGAAAGCTTAGAATTTGGCCAAATGCTTTTCAGCCAGAATCGCACTCGGCCTGGTGTGATTCGGCCAAAATCGCATCCGGCCAAATTCAAACTTGGATTTTGGGTGACAAAGTGAGAAGATTGTGGTGGTTGGGTGCGATTCCAGCCAATTGGTGTGAGAAGGTCAGAAGATTCCGACCATTTTTTTTTCTATTTTTTTTTTTTTTTTTATTTGGACGATGCTGTTTTGTGTTGATTTGGATAAGGTCAGGTGGAGATTTTGTGTGTGGATTTGTGTGAGAAGTTAGCAGTGAGAAGACAGTTACGATCGGTCGAAACCGCAACTGGAATCAGAGGTGGAGAAGAAGAAAGAAAAGAATATAAGTGAAGGGTATTTTCGATTTTACATGGTTTTTACTGTGTCAGAGAACATATTTTCTTAACTAAACATAACGGTGGGTGGGAAAGTGTCATTTTGAAACTTGATGCATGGAAAAAGTGTCATTTTGAAACTGGGCGAGTGGGAAAGTGTCGTTTTGCCAAACCTTGGGTGGGAAAAGGTTGTTCTCCCTTAAGATGAACAATTTACAGGACGTAAAGTCGTTTTGCCAACAACAAATGTACTGTCATTCATACAGTCATAGAGTAATGAGCTTCAACAAGATTTGGGAACCCTCGAAGTGTTACCAACATATCCACAACAAAGAGCCCAACTTTGATGTCTTAAAATATTGGAAAACCAGAAAATATATTTTTCCAGTATTATCAAGACTTGCCTTGGATATTTTCGCTGTTCCTGTCTCAACTGTCTCATCCGAACAAACATTTAGTGCAAGTGGAAGAATTTTAAATGAAATGAGGACTAAATTTTCACAAAAAATGATTGAAGTCCTCACATGTCTTCGAGATTGAGAACAATTGTGTCATTAGGATCAATACGAGATTGTCGACGATACTTTAATAAAATCATTTCGATTTTGTAATATAAATGATACGGATAAAGGAGATCCTAGTCAACCCCCAAATTAGTTGTTTTGTAAATTGTAACTTGTAAATTAATTGTCAATTATTGCACTCTTTTTTCCTTACCAAGTTTTTGTCCTATTAGGTTTTTCTTGGTAAGGTTTTTAACGAGACAATAATTATTGTAATTTCTTATTTTATTTTTTGATAAATGAATAAATCTAATTTTTTTATATTACAATTTTATTGTATTAATATTTGAAATGTTAAAAAAAAAAATTAATTTAATTAAATTATTGATATTTGAAAAGTTAACTAAAAATAATTACACAAAAAAAAAAAAAAACAAAAAAAAAATTGTGAGTTAACCCGACCCGCTTGCATAATCCCCACCGGGTTAGGGTTGGTGGGCCGAGTTATGCCCAACCCGCCACCCCACCCCCATAACCCTGACCGGGCACGTCATTTTTCCACCATTAATACCACAAACTTTTTAAATAGGAAGATATTCATAATCCCAAAAAGGACCCAAATGCTTTGTCTCCAAACAGATCCTTAACTTCTAGACATCGCCCAAGAACCAGACGCCAGCACCTGCTGGAAAGCACTACCAACCGCTCACTGTAGCATTTACCTTAGCAAACGCTTAATAACACCGCCTCTTATCATGCCTCCGTTCCTATATAAAATATATTATATTGAGCATCAATAGTTGGGTCAATTTTTGTCGATATTACGAAATATATTCTTTAGCTTTACATATAAATTCGTCTTTACCAGAAAACAAAAAAAAAAAAAAAATCATCAAACACTCGAGGTAATTCTCTTAATTTGGCTCACTTTCATAGAGATAATCGTATGGTAACGTTCAATTGTTGTCTCAATATTTAAACCATGTTCTAGAGAACTCTTTTTTTTTTTTTTTTTTTTTTTTTTTTTGGTGGGCTATTGTATTTGATTGACTTTTTGTTGTTTTCTTTCTTTAATTTGGTGTTCTAGAGTGAACTGTAATTTGGTTGCTGGAACACGTGAGATTTGAAGATGTTTTTGTTTTAATTTTGTCAGTTTTAATTATTTATTTACTGTGCTCTGTTACCTGAAATTGGGTTTCATTTTGTTTCATATTCTCTTAGTCTATGATACAAGTGCTCTTAATTCCTGTTAAAAGTAATACTTTGTGCGGGTTTATGTTATTTTCACTGTTTCGATTTGTTGAACTGAAGACTTTGAATACTGAATGTCAAGGAAGACAGTTCTTTTTTCTGATTTTCTTGCTTAAGCTGACCCCTGATTGCATAAAAACATTGGTTCTTTTGGTGTTTAGAACTGTTTGATCAACTAAGTATTCAATGAATTTTAACTGTATGCATAGAATAGGTTTCTTTATTATTCTTAGTTTTTTCCTTAAGTAGATAATCTAGTAGGTTCAAAGATTTTGGTAACATCTCGGACGTATTTTGATTTGTAAATCTATAGAAAATATCCTCTACTCGGACATTGCCAGAGCTTAACTCACTGACTTCGACAAACCATGTTGAATTCTCAAGCGGGGTATTGGAGATTTCATGAAGGGGCTCGATGGCTTTATGCTCAAACTGATGTTGAAAATTTATGGATTTGTTGTTTATGCAGTTAAATTTAATTGTTATTCTGTAATTATTTTCTTTTGTGCAGCAGAAAATGCAAGATTCACAAAGCGTACTTAAGGTTTTGGTTATTTGGAGGGGAAACAAGTATGTTGTGGAAATGAATTCCAATTCGTCTCTCAAGGAGCTAGGCACTGAGCTCCAGAAGTTGACCGATGTCAAGGCGGATACAATGCGGTTGATTGTTCCTCAAAATAAAGGATCAAAACTGATGTCTCCTTTCTCTGATGATCATTCAAGATTAAGTGTGCTGGAAGTTTCTATCATTGAGGTACTTTTTTTTATTACTTTTATTTTGGAATTAATTAATTTCTTTAAGTATAATGATGATGTGAAACATTATATCTAAATGTGGTGATTATTGGGATTGGGTTCTGTTTTGGATCTCTTGGACTCAAAAAATTGGTACTTGTTTAAATTATACCCTAGGTTATGTTTAATGTTTTTGAGATAAGTTATTGGCCTTTCATAGGTACACGAATGACATCATGCTTTGAAAGCATTGGTTGCATGGAGAAGTTTCACTGCATGTTTGGTCTTAAATTAACTGTATATATCCTTACTCCCTAGAATGTTTTAAATTAATCTTCATTGTTGCCTCTCTTCCTTGCTCTGTCATTGCTCATGTTTCTTGGGTGGAGGCTGTGAGGGGATCTTTTTGTGGATTTAGATTGTATCCACTTAAAAGCTCCTTAAACTGAGTTAAGTGGCAGTCATTCTTCTGCAATCTTCTCCATTTGTGTACAAATGTTACAGCTAACACAATGAATATATGAAAGTAGCTGAAAAGATTGTTAAAGAGTGATTTGTAGAACTGAATCTCTGATTTCTTTTGCAAAATTCAGGAAAACCACCTTGTTATTGTTGTTCTTCCATCACTCAAAGTATGCCGAAATCTGTTACCAAGTCTAATGAGGTCATTGGTTGCTCTTTTTTCTTTTCCCTAATTCAGGGGAAGCCTATCAGAATGATGGGAGTATCTGAAGATGAAGTTGACAAAGTTCTGCAAAATGAGAAGGAAGACCTGAGGATAGTTGGATTTGATGAAGAAGAAAAGAGATTGAGGCAACGAATGTTAGATGGGCCCATTGCTCCACTGAAACTTCCTCAAGGACAATATATCTTTTGTGATTTTCGCACTCTTCAGATTCCAGGAGTAGAGGTACCTTCAGCTTTTTAGATTCCCTTTAAGCTTATATATATTGGTTAGTTGCCATTTTTATAAGGATATTGGCATTCAAATTTGACAATTTCACAATACTGCATGCAAACTTAGTATAGACTCTTGTGGGAATTACTAGGCAATTTGTTGTGTGTAGAAACTAATAGATGGTCACTGGCATCAAACACAAGGAGGAACCTTAATTTCTAATGTTAGCTACTTCTTGATATTTGGCAGATAAAATAATCCAGCTTGTGGACATGGAGAAATGTGTACTAATGCTAAAATGAGAAATTTTGATTTAACTAAGATATGTTTGTTAGATGAATATTGTTTCTCAAAGATTGACTTGAAATGGAATGTCCTATATCCTTCAATATGTAATATTTGTACATCTTTTATTGGGTCGAATCTTTTCTGCTTCTGTTATTTTATTTTGGTGACATTTGTTTGGTTGCTAGGTTAGTCTAGATTTTTTATGGTTTACACGAAGATAATCTTATTTTTTAGTTCGAAATCTATGTGCTTTATGGTGAATTTCAAATGTTTGGCTTCTTGGGACATCTGTGTCTCCCTGGGAAATAGCAAGCTATTTGCCTTCAAACGGATTTAAGGTGATTTTTACTTGTCTACAGTTGAACCCTCCAGCTTCAGAGGCATTGAAAAGAATGCATATGCTTGCTGCAGATCCTGGAATAGTTGCTATTATGAACAAGGTACTATTAAATGCAGCTTCTGGTGTTAATAATCACATTAACTCCATTAGGTCTGATTATTTTTCCTTTCTGTGTGTAAAGCATCGTTGGCATGTAGGAATAATGACAGAGATGGCCCCTGTTGGTTATGTTGGCATAAGTCCAAAATGCATTCTCGGTGTTAACAAGGTAACATCCATTCTAAGCATACAACAGGCAGTTGTATTATGTAATACTAAACACTTGTTTACTCTTTTCTTTCTCAGAATCATGGAGAGGAAATATCTCTGCGTCTTCGAACAGATGATCTTAAGGGTTTCAGAAAATACGAGCGTATTAAGAAAACTCTTTTGCATGAACTTGTAAGCCTTATTATCAACAGCTTTATTGTGTTCTCTTTCTATCTCTGCTGTGTCAAGATTATTGGTAAATGGTTTTCGATTAGCAGATGATTGTTGAGGAACTTATAGTGTTCCTTTTCTTTGTTCAGGCTCACATGTTATACTCTGAACATGATGCAAACTTTTATGCCCTTGATAAACAGGTAATAAGACATACATGCTTGTATTTTCACAAGGGGTTGGCATATTGATTGTAGTTATTATTATGGGTGAACTGTATCAGCCTTATCTTGATTTCATGTATTTTCTGAGCAGCTGAACCAAGAAGCTGCTTCTTTAGATTGGACTAAATCAAGGGGCCACTCCTTGAGTGGTGTCAGGTATTCAGACCAATATGAAGACAACTTGTTTGCTGGAGATATTAGAAATGCTTCCCACAAGCTTGGGGGAAATGTTTCAGAACAGTTGGTGAGTGCTCGTGCATCTTCAGTGGCTGCTGCTTATCGTCGATTAGTGAATGTTTCTGCCAACAGTTTTGAAGTATCTGAAGTGTGTGAAGAATCTGATCATATGGATTTAGTTGAAAAAGAAAACAAGATTGAGCCTGATCCTGATGATTCTCTGGATGGGGTAACTTTGGCAGCAACAAATTCATTTGAAGAACCTGATCCGGATGACTCTGAAGCTCTCTTGAATTCTGGAGTAGTGGCTGAACCTCATTCTCATCACTTTCAGGTAATGGAGGTGGAAAGCATTCTTCAGCCAAGGAAGACCATGGGTGAGCCTGATCCAGATGATTCAGAGGCTAAAGGGAGAATTTCAGGATATACAAATATTGCAAGACCCAATTATGGTCATTCTTTAGCGAATAAAACCAGGGAAGATCAGGGCAATATGAACGCTTATAGAGAACCTGATCCAGATGATACTCAGGCCAATGGAATTGTACAGGGTGAGCCTGATCCTGATGATACTCTGGTACATGCACATTGTATATCCAGTATGAAAATAGATGAACCAGATCCAGATGCTCAAGAATTGAGGAGAATCCAAGACCCAGTGACTGTTGTTTGTAGCCGTCTGCAGAAGATGATTGAGCTGCTGCAAGCTGAAGTTAATCCCTTGGAGGCAACTACTGTCCTACAAACTCTATTTAAGATAATTAGGTATGGTTTTCTAGCTTGATGAGTTTCCCATTCTCTTCTCAATTCTCACAAGCCCTCTAAATAAATTAAGATAATTGGTTAGTCCACTGCTACAGCCTTGTTAATTATTTCCAGTGCTAGAGGTACTGATAAAAGCTGGAACTATTTCTCTTCTGGCAGGAATGTGATTGAACACCCTGAGGAGATGAAGTACAAAAGACTCCGGAAGGTAGATTATTCCTACTTGTATAGAACTTTTGTTGCTTTCTTAATGACTTCTTTTGACAATTTATTCATCAAAACTTTTTCCTTGATTATTTAACGGTTGGTACATTGCAGGCTAACCCCATAATCCAAAGGAATGTTGCAAATTATAAAGGTCTACATCTTTTCTCTTAATTATTATTATTATTATTATTTATGTGCTTCTTATTCTGTTAACTGGCTGACATATAGAGGGTTATTAAAAAAATTTCTATCCCGAAGTGCATCTTGTTTAACCTTGACTTTAACCTGCTTATTTGGATTACAGCTGCCATGGAGATTCTGTATTTGATTGGTTTCAATGAAGATGTTGTTTTGGATGAAATCGGAAAAGCAGAAACTTATTTAGTGTTGAAACGGAATGATCCAGGCTTATTGTGGCTTGCCAAGTCCTCCCTTGAAACGTGCATTGCGTACTAGCTGTGGAAAATATTATACAAAGTACAAACAAAACATTGCGTACTGGAATGTGTGTGATATGTGAAATATATATTGTACATTTCTTGATGAAATTCCTACAGACCTGTAACATATATGATAAGACTCTTGTCCATAAATAAGAAGAGTTGTTATATAAATGTGAATGCTAATAACTGCATGTTCATTGCTGGCTGGATTTAACACCTTTGCCTCATAATCAGAAGATACCAACATTATTTGGCTGTTTATGTTGAATACTACAGTCTACAACATCCGCTTGGCAAATGTTACCGAGCTTGCTCACCTTTTTTCTCCAATCTATGGTATTGTACTGCCTAAGATATTAATCTCAGGTTTGTTCTTTCCATCAAAAGGATGGAAAATGGAAAAAACTCTTTAGATATATGAGTTGACCTTGTAGAAAGCTTAAGGCGGGTAGAAGTAGCACTTGGAAATTTGTACATCATTTTTATGCAACTCCATGAAAATTACGGGGGTGCAAGTTCAACATGGATTTCCATTACTCTGTTTTAGGACCCCTCCCAAAATAAAACAAGCTACTTTTGAGGAGCAACAAGCGTCACATTTCTTCTCACTGTAATGCATCCGATCCACTTAATTCAATTTAGCATTCAAGACCAGGAAAATAGAATGAGCTTGAAACAAAAGACAATGTGTATGGCAAAACATAAGTTTACAGAAAAAGCAAGGCGAAAATCTCTATTTAAAACATATCTCGTATAAAATTAGAGAATGAGCCAGATACAGCGCACATGGAACATTGGACTGAAGAAGCAAGCGCCCACAGTGTGTATCCACACCGCACATCAAATCTTACAAACGAAGTCTGGGCATTTACTCCCACTTTACAACCAAATTTCAGATAAATGTAGAAGTTCACCGAAGTGGGGACTCAGTCAACTTGTGGCCTATGGCTGATCTCCCAAAGAAAGAGGAAGGGATTCAAGAGCTATCCATTGGAATATCACTGCCATTTGGGTTAAGTATGTTGTCAGTAAAAGGAGTTTCAGAGATGTTCTTCTCAGCCTGGCCAGCTCCAAATGTGAACTCTTGTGGAGGAATATTTAGAGCTCCAGAAAAAATGGAGGTTGTGCCAAAGCTACTACTGAAAGCAGGGACAGGAACCGGATCATTAGACTTTGTGAAGCCAAAGTTAAAGGATGGCAGACCTGATGGAACAAAAGGCAGGGGAGGGTTGCCTGTATCAACTGACCCAAAGATCTTCTGTTCATACTCCTGCAACTGCTGGTAGACAGCTGCAATTCCCAACAGGGACAAAGTCAAGGTAATGGAAAAGTTAAGGACGTGTGTAACATCTAAATAAAATGCCAATGTTAAACAACACAATATAAGTATATAACAATATAAATTCAATAGCTATTGTATAATGTTCAAGGACAAAAGTTAAGTTGTCCATAATTTTGCAAACAACTGTAGAAGAAAATAATAAACCCATGCTTTGCCACTTTCCCAAAACATTTTCAATTAAACACATCATATTCCTTCACTATAATTTCAACAGAAAAATCAATGCTTCTGTTCACACACACGCAAGTATGTCATCCAGAAATGTTCATACCTTGTGTTAAGTCAACAGATGGTCTCCGCTCTTTCACCCACTGATAACTCTGCGGAAGCCTCCATCCTTTACGCTTCATCAAGTAAGCTATTACAATGGCTGGTGACCTATCAGAAAGAACATCATCATAATTCAATAGTGGTCAGTGCTCTAGCAGTCTAAATGAATAATCACTGCACAACTTTCAAAAGTTTGCAGAATCAAAGACCCAACAGGCTCTTGCAAAATACCTAATAGGCAAGCACATAATGCCTGTTTCTATTATTCCGCTGAATATCTTTTCATGTGCATGTGAGTGTAGTGTGAGTTTCTGCTATTCCATTTAACCAGAAAAGATATTTATTTGTGAGTAATAAGCAACCTGTTTTTTCCAGACATGCAGTGCACAAGAACTCGAGCCTTGTCCTTCTCACATTGCTCTGCCATAGAATAAATTGGGAAAAAAAACACTTGTCAGCTATACTCTATGCCTTGCAGAAAAAATAAAGTGTCATAATATGTGAACAGCAACCACGTTTAAACGGGAACATCTGAGTTACTGCAAAGCAATTGATCAAATCCAACAACAATCCCATTATTTTTAGGAATCACATTTGAGACCATTTTGTTACTCTATTCCATTGCATAGTACAAAACACAAGTAAGCAAGAGCTTCTCCACTCTCTTTTTTATGGCATTCATCAGTGTCTCTTTACAACATTAGGAAAGTAATTGATCAATAAACAAATGAATTAAAAAAATTTCTAGACTATTAACATGATAAGCCGAAGTTTGGTACCTAAAGTCTAAGTTGACAGCACAATTAACAAAGTTTACCATTTGAACACAATAAAAAAAATTTCAAATTTTGGAAATTCATAGCCCATATATAATGATCTTTTCTCATTAAATTTTTTTTTTTTTTTTTTAAAGATCTGTACATAATGATCTGAATCGTAATAAGATTAAGGGTTGTTTTGTACTCACAAATAACCACAGCAGATGTTTGGTTTCATACACCAAAGGTGGCACATAAAGAGCACACATGATGTACAGTTCTTAGCAAGAAGCATATTCTCATTTTCAATTCCTGAAGCAAAATAAAACCTAACTACAGCAATTTCTTTTTTATAGTGTGTGTGTGTGTGTGTGTGTGTGTGTGTCTACAGGCACTACGTTTGAATTAAACTACATATTGTAAACGACTAAATGAACTCATAAACAGAAGTGTCCAAGCCAAAAATAAGCATATACCAACAAATACCAATTTATAATGAGCAACAAATACAAACATACCTAAAAACACAATTGCATCGTCAAATTGTAAAGTTTTGTCATCTTGAAGGCAGTGATAGGTAAACGAGTTCTTGTAGAGATTTTGACAGGAAGGAACTGTCTGCAGGCAGGCCAAAATAAGTGGTATAAAAATATGTCAGAATTAATAAAAATTTAAGAAACTAAAAGTCACAGGTTTTTTTAATCACGAATAAACAAAAAATTGATAGAGGCAGTTAATTTTTCTGCAGAAGCAGAGATGGAATTACATAATTACACCTAACCATGCAAATGGCGAGAATCTATTTAAGTGAAGAAAAAGGCCAGTATAGTTTACATAGTACTATACTGGCCTGCATAGTACTAAAGATCATAATATCAATAAGCCATAAAACTTTAACTTATCATGATGGGAAATTATAGCATCCACCAAATCCCATAAAAAGGAATCAGTCATTGGAAAGTATCAGTCCCATTAGTATACATCAATTTTGAATCAAATAACTAAGCACCATAGTTTACATCATAAATCAAGTTGCTAGCCATTTATGTATCATCCCAAAGCATCCCTTGCTTAGGCCATATAAGCAAATCCACTAACCAATACAAGTTTAAATTAGAATCAATAAAATCAAATCTTACCATTTTTCTTGTTGATACACAAGAAGTCTTTCAACATGTTTCAATGTTCTTTAGATTTGAGAAAACTCTAAAATTACACAGTTCACTAAGTTGATAATCTTCAAATTTCTACTTGCGTGATCTTTTATGTGCCAATATTTTCCGATCCAAAATCGTCTATTCTATCTTCTCTATGCAAATACTCCAAGATGAAATCCAAAGATATTGCACCTTATATCAGTACACAATACCGACTTCAAACCAATCCTAATTGCCAATCACAAATCAGTTATAGAAATCGTCAAACAAAACACACCTTATTAAAGCCTCCACTCACCTCCTTCACAGCCGCCTAATCAAACTTAAAAAAAACATAATCATATATAAAATCTTTACTCCTATGAAAATTGTTTTTTCTCTGGTCATGAACTTAACCCGTAACCTGAACCTTTCATATTAATAATAAATTTACAAAACTTTTACAATAATTGATGGTATCATTTCAATACCAAACTGCAAACCCTAACATGACAACAAAACAGGCTTAAAGAAAAAAGAAAGTAAAAAGCACAGAACCAATAAATTCAACACAATCAAATCATAATTATACCTAAACAAAGCAAAAACTCACATTAAGAACACGAGTAATCCCCTGAGTCTTAAGCAGCTCAGAGCGAGAAGCGTTGTCGTAGCTACCCAAATAGAGAAACTCCGGCAGGATCTCGGAGGGGAAGGCACTGACATGGAGGGAGGGTTTCTCGGATGAGGAGGGGGAGCGGTGGCCGCAAATTCCGCAGACTTCTCCCTCCTCATACTTGTGGTAGTGCCCACAAACCCCACATGGATTCTCTCTCTCCCTCTTCCTCATTACGACTATAATTAGTGTTGTTATCAAGTAATAAGTGTTAGGTAAAGCTCAAAATATACAAGATTTGATTGAAAGCAGAGGTAGGTTTCGATTGATGGTGATAAGATTGAGGTTGATTTATGTAAAATTTTGTTGAAAGAAGAGAATAATAATATGAAATTCAAAGTGTCAGGCTTTGTTCAGAGTGTTCGATTTGAGAGATTCTTGGTGGGCATGTGCATGTATGTACTGTTATTGTCATTGTTATGTAATGTCATGTATCAATCCGACTCGAGACTTTTCTTTTCTTTTGTATTCTTCCTGATTCCCTGCTATCGCCTTTGATTTGTAGGTTTCCAATGGCTTTCTATCCACTCCTTTTCAGCCACGTGCACTTTTATTTTGTCGGAGAAAAATAATTGAAAAATCTTAAGATAAATAAATAATGTAATTGTATTTATTATTTGCATTATGATGTATGATAATTTAGAAAAAAAAAAAGTAAAATTGTGGTCAAACAAGATTATCTAATCAAATATTATTTCAAAATCCTTTTTCATGAATTTCAATAATTCGACCTTTTTTTTCTTTATTCATTTTTCAAACACATTAAAAAATAATAAGACTTTAAATTTACTAATTTTCACGCTAATTCAACAAATCCCATTAATTTTGTACGTTGAATTATGGTAATATTCTTGTCCATTGCATTCAGATGCCTTTTAGGAAGATTGTACAAATTAAAGATAAAGTCAAAACTGGATAAGATGAGTTTATCCTGTTACATCACACGCAGGATCACGTTTGAATAACTTTAATTATTATCATCATTATTTTTTTTTTTTTACGTAAAGTGAGACCGATTATTAATTAATCATAGTTTCATGGCAAATAAAGAGGGTTGATTTATTTATTTTTTGGCTTTTACGTAACACTTCAATAATTTTTAAGTTGTTGGGTTACAATGAATTAAAGAATATAAATCAACAAAAAATTTAAATCAAATAATTAAGTTAATAATTTTTATAAAGGATCTCTTTCATTTCATGTGTGTGGACCAGGAGTTTAAATGAATATAAATCCTTGGAATGAAATATTAATAATCATAATAAACACAATTTACACTTATTTTTAACATCTTAAACTTACCACCAAAGTAACCACTTTCGATCATGATCAATCCTTGTATCACGAGTCACGACCTCTTCTCCAAATCTTATTATCATGATTAATGATATTTTAATCATGATTAATATTTATTTATTTATTTTTGTATGATATAATTATCGGATTGATGTTTCGGTTTCAAATATCATTCCATAGGTTGTATTGAGGGTGATCGGATCCGGATACCCTGAGATTTTTGGAGGAATCGATCGGTTCCTAAAATTAGGAACTAGAACCAACCGATTCCGATTTCGATTCCGATTCCGATTCCGGTTCCGGTTCCTCAATTACTGGAAACAAGTTTCGGTTTTGGTTCCGAGTACCTTGGATAATTACAGGTTTTGGTTTTGGTTCCGAGTACCCTGGATAATCACAGGTTCCGGTTCTGGTTTTGGGTACCCTGGATAATTATCATTAGTCCTTGTAACTTTACAAAATGACAAAAAAATTGCAAAATTTTAAATACACCCCCATTTGTTTAAATATTCTATAACAATATAACTTTTTCCTTATTAATTAATTTCAATATTTCAAATAATTTTAATATATAGTCTTAGTTTTAATACATAGTGTAAGACTATTTATTAAAATTATTCATAGCTTCTTCATATCCAAAATCCAAAACCAAAATGTTAACAGTTATGTATATGGTCTAGGGGTAAACTTTATTAAAACCCCCTAATGGTGTATACTTGTTATGTACAAATCACGATTCTTTTCCCGGTTCTTTGCAGGGTACCCTGTTACCAACTCCTAGCAGGTTACCCTATTATAGGTTTCAATTTCGATTCCTACCTGGAATCGAAACTGAAACCCCAAGTACCCACCGATTCCCGATATAACCTATTTTCATGCTCACTCATAGGTTTTATATGATAATTAATAAAAGAATATGCTATCTTAACTCGCTGAGTTTCCAAAATAAAACTAAGAGGGCGTTTGGTTCAGGAATGTTAGATTACTGGGAATATTGGATTACTGGAAAGATAGATTACCTTGGAAGATTACTGAGAATCTTTAAGAAAATATGTTTGGTTAGTAGGTAGGTATGTTATATTAATATGTTTGGTTATGGGGAATAAATTGGTGGGTATGTTATTTAAATTACTAAATTGTCCTCTTTTTAACATTCTCTTATTGTGCCGGCAGGCCTGGGCGAGCGAGGTAAGGTTAGATTAGAGGGAGGGGGACTGCGAACGCCCGTCCCATGCTTATTACAAGGATGGATCCTCTGAAGTACATTTTCGAGAAGCCTTCGCTAACAGGAAGAATATTAATATAATATTATTTTTATTATAAATTTTTGAATAATTTCTTTTAACCCCCAATATTTCAGATTTAGCTAAAACACACCCGCTTATATAAAACTTTAATTTATGATGAAATCACCCCCACCTCCTGCCGCCACTGCGAACCACTGCCGGAAAATCGCCGGAGTCCCTAAAAAAGAAGAAAATTATGTGGGAGGCTCCGGGAGGCTTCGATATGGCTGTTTCCGGCCATATTGATGGCCGAAAACGGTTATATCAGGCCAGATCCCTGACCATTATCGGCCAGATCTGGTCCAGACTTGGCCGTTAATGGCCAGGGATCTGGCCATTAGTGCCCAGATCCATTGATCTAGCCGGAAATGGCTAGAATAGATCTGGCCATTTTCGGCCAGATCTGGCCTGATATGGCCGTTTTCGGCCATCAATATGGCCAGAAACGGCCATAGCGAAGCCTCCCAGAGCCTCCCACAGAATTTTCTTCTTTTTTAGGGACTCCGGCGATTTTCTGGTGGTGGTCCGTGGTGGTTGGCCCACTGTCGGCGGTGGTGCTGGGTGGCAGTGGTGATCTGTAAATAATTTTAAATATAAGGGCATTATTGTCCAAAATTTTAATTAATAAGGGATAAAATTATAACAAAAAAAGATAACCCTGATAATTTCAGAATACCTAAGAAAATAGAGGTAATCAGATTACCAGATATACTATGGGTATTTGAAGATTACCGGTATCTTATATTACTTAACAACCAAACATTCTAATCAAGTAATATAAAATGACATTACTCCAATAATACAACTTAACCCCCAACCAAACGCCCTCTAATAGTGTTGTGACAAAACCAATATCACGGCAACTTCCCGCTGTCACCAATCTCAACGAGGAGCGCCACTCTAGTATCTAGTACTGGAAAGTGAAAACACTTCCAAAAATCAAAGAAACCAAGCCATGGCTAACCCATCTTGCCGCCGACTGTTTTTCCCTTCTCGCTTTCAACTCTCTCGTTACATTTCCTCTTCTTTTGACCCACCCCCTCTTCCTCCACTTCGAAGAGTTGTCGTCACTGGTAAAATGTCCTCACTCTCTTTTTTTAGGAATATGTTAGGACCGTTTTATACAAAATTCAACCATAATTTTTTAGTTCAAAAATGGATTTTGGAGTATAATCTTAACAACTAGTATAAAATCATGAAAAAAAAAGTCATTTTTTTTCCATTTCAGCAGAGAATATTACTTCAATTACATTTTAAAATGTTAAGAAATTTGAGTTGGAATTCTAGTTTTATTTTGAGATGAAGTTTCGATTCACAAATTTTATTGTGTTTTAACTTTCATTATCTTTTTCAGGCGTCGGCATGGTGACGCCGCTTGGTTGCGGGGTGGAGTCCACGTGGAAGCGTTTGATAGAGGGTGAATGTGGGATAAGAGCAATAACGATTAAAGATCTTAAGATGAGTAATTTTGATGAAGAAGTTCAATTACATGCATTTGATCAGTTAACTTCTAAAGTTGCTGCACCTGTGCCTTGTGGAACGAAACCTGATCAATTCAATGAGGCTTTGTGGCTTAATTCTAAGGTAACTATTCTTTTTTTTGTTTTTTGCTCTATGACTGTTTAATCCTGTTGGCTATATTTAATGATGGCTTGTTTTGTATGTGGGTATATGTTTATTTATGATATGGTTAACGTATAGAGTTTGAAATAATTTTTAGGCGCATGAATAGAATTAGATCAAGAGAGGCCAAGTGGGTACCAAATCAGGGGTTTTGGTATTGGCCTCTTCAACTGGCTAAATTTCTGTTATTCTTGGATGATCTAAGATCGAGTTTCTAATGATTTCCTATGCTACTTCAGAGGATTTTTACTTCATTATAGTTTTTCTATTTCTTAAATTCTTTTAGGACCACCGATCGATTGCAAGGTTTATAGCCTATGCTTTATGTGCAGCTGATGAGGCTCTACGTGATGCAAATTGGCTACCCGTCAGTCAGGAGCAGAAGGAAAGAACGGTAATCATTTGTTATATTTAAATAATATGTGGATGTATTATTTTTGTTAATGATAAATATCTTATTAATGTGGTAAACACAGGGAGTATCCATTGGCGGGGGTATAGGAAGCATATGTGATATAGTTGATGCAGCACAATTGATATGTGAAAAGGTTGGTTTATTTCTACCTCTTACTATCTGTAAAAAATTGATTCTAAAACGTGTTTCACTGTCACCATTGCTACTTTGATTTAATTTCTTTTTGGCTCAAGGTCATAGTTTGGGCTGTATGGATGACTTAAGTGTTTTGGAGATTACTAATTTTATCAGTGATAACTCTGCCTTTTCAGCGTCTTCGTCGGCTTAGTCCATTTTTCACTCCCAGAATATTAATTAACATGGCAGCTGGTCATGTGAGCATGAAGTATGGATTCCAGGTGCGTATTTAACTTCTAAAATTGAAAATCACTATATAGTGCAAATGTATAATCTGCTTTGGCATATATAAGCTCAGTCACTGAACCGCATTTCTCATGTGGGTAATTTATGCACTGATCAGATCTCATGAAATAGTGCTTTGTTTCCCTATTGGTCATGGTTCCTAGGTCAATTCTTTTGGGGGATGAACCATTTGGGCTAGAGGTAAAATTTTGGCCACTTGGAGAATATAATCTAAAAAAATTTAAATATAGGTAATTACACACTTGGTGGTCCATTTTTAGGGTTAGATTAGATAAAAGATGGGATCTTATTATCCTAAATCAAAATAGGAGAATGTGGCTTGGAGTTTATCGCTCTCAAAAAGCCATTACTTATATTTTTCTCTGTTTCAGTTCCTTATTTGTAGTAATAAT